TTAAAAATAAATGACAATTACCAATGATTAATAGTTATGTTGCAAAATGTTGATTATTTCATATTGATGTATCACAAATTCAAAGTTACTCTATGAATTTTTCTACCTTAAGGATCTATTCCATTCACTCCACATAGTCATTACATAAAAGCTTTGAATTCAAAGGAGATCAGGCAAGGATATGCATGAGCAAACAGATTTAAAAAATAATTTAAATAAACTGTCAATATTGGTGTGCCTTTGGTTTAAAAAATAATTGTCACATTTCACCAAATTACACATTAACTCTTTGTTGGCCTGGAACCCATTTTGATCATTGTCTTTTGTATCTCAGGTTTTTCTTTGATTACAGAAGGAAAACTATTAGATTTTACATTTAAAAAAATAGTCAAGGTTTCCTTCAACTGCATTATTCAAATTTTTTTTAAATATTAGGAAGAAATGTCTCTTTTATCTAATACAGTTGGTCGAGACAGTTCTACCCTTTGCTTGGCTAAGACTCTACTTGCTTTGCATTCAGAAGTAGCACTGAGAATGTCATAAATGGAACAGTTACCCACCCTGATACTTACAGGTGGTCCAGAATCTGCTCTCAGATGAAGGAGGTAGTTATACAAAAGGGAGTTCCTAATAAAAAAAAAAATTAGCCAGATGTGATGGTGCATGCCTGCAGTCCCAGCTGCTTAGGAGACTAAGACAGGAGCATCGCTTGAGCCCAGGAGTTCAAGGCTGAAGTGAACTATGATCACACCACTGCACTCCAGCCTCGGCAGCAAAGTGAGACCTTGTCTGCGTCTCTCTTAAAACAGAAAAAAAAGAAAAAGAATTCCTTATTGTATCATAAGGTCACGATTTTGCCTATTTTAAATAATAGGTGGTCCAGGAAGTGGAAAGGGTACTCAAAGTTTGAAAATCGCAGAACGTTATGGATTCCAATACATTTCCGTGGGAGAATTATTAAGAAAGAAGATCCATAGTACCAGCAGCAATAGGAAATGGAGTCTTATTGCCAAGATAATTACAAATGGAGAATTGGCCCCACAGGTACTGCTGTATAATTTGCTTCCATTCTATAAAAATTTTTATGCAGGTTGTGAGTGTACTTAAGTTTAACTGTGGTTTTTCATCCTTTTTCTTTATAAAAGGAAACAACAATTACAGAGATAAAACAAAAATTGATGCAAATACCTGACGAAGAGGGCATTGTTATTGATGGCTTTCCAAGAGATGTTGCCCAGGCTCTATCTTTTGAGGACCAAGTAAGAATGTCTCCTAATATTTTAAATGACCTACTTTTTGCTTGAAACTGTAAGATTTAAAAAAAAAAAAAGATTTCTAGGAAGACTTGCTGTTTTTCTGAATGAATTCTGGTCTGAAATGGGCAAATACATCAATGTGGGTTGGCAGAAGGTCATTTCCTTGGCAAATGCTTAAAAATTGAAGACAGTCTCTGCCAAAAGGAAAGGTAAGAACTAATAATAGAATGCATTATTTTTATTAAAAAATGTAAATCTCTCTAAAATTTATTTCAAGAAACTTTTTGTAAGGATTTTTTTTTTATCTTTAATTACTAAAGACAAGCCTATTCAGAGCTATCCATGGATATAAAACATCACCCTGTACTTAACATTCTACAGATTAAGGAAGCCCTCTTCACTGGGTTGTGAAATACCGCACCACTTACCTAACCTATATTAAGATAGGGTTTGGTTGCCAAAATTTACTCAAATTTAAGTTGACTACGCCCGCTCAACACTCAACACATCTGTTTTAAGGGGAAATAAATCAATTAAAATATTTTGTATATTGAATATTTTAAAATTGTAGGTAACTGATTTTTCATTTATACTTTTTGATTACAAAATAATGTATGGTCACACAGATGTTAAGTCCTGCTATAAAAAGTAAAAATTCATTAACACCCTCCTTTCATTCCACGTCCCTTTCTCGCCTGAGAAATGGAAATACTGTTAAGATTGTTACAAATTCTTCTAGGCCTTTTCTATACTTACATATATACACACACATACACGCACACATGTGTGCACATGCTCATACACAAATGCATGTTAAATTTTCATAGCTATTTCCAAACTGTCATTCAAAAAGACTTTTCCAAATTATATTTTCATCAGTATTGAATGAGAGTACGTATTTCTCCAGACCCTTTCCAACCAGATATAACTCATATTTAAAATTTTTACCAGTCTGGTAAGTATGAAATGGTTTGTTCTTTAGGTTGACCTGTCTTGGATTACTATTATGGTTGAGTATATTTTCATATATTTATTGATCATTTTTATTTCTCCCTTATGGGAATTGCCTGTTCTCCTTCACCCATTTTTCTACAGACTTGTCTTTTTCTTATTTATTTGAAGCCTTTTTTAACATGTTGCAGATACTGTATCACACAGGATTAGGTCAAATAAGATGTAAATTTGTGTCTCACATAAAAGAAATCCTGGAATTCGGCAGATCAAGGAGAGAGGTAGCTTTACAAAGCATCTCTTTGAATGTTCCAATTAACTGTTTTGGAGCACCTATTGTGCTGGACTATCTTTCTCCCCAGCTCAGGTTTCCCCTCCCACCCTAAATCCAGAACCTGTGGAGCTCAGTTAGTTTAAGGGCTTGGTTCTAATTGATATGGCCTTGAAGAGAGAAAAACTGGAAAAATCTGCTCAATCTTTTGATGTTGCTGTTGCTGCCACATATATTGCTCTTCAAAACGAGTGCTGTGGCAGCCATTCTGTGTGATTCTGAGCAATTGGTGGAAGCATGATAGCCAGGCAGGCAGGTGGGCATTGCCACCCAAACCTCGTCCAGCCCATGTTTTAAATGAGTTAGTTGCATTTGGTATCAGCAGATGAAGCTACTTGATTGTTTCTCTATTGCTTTTTAAACATGCTATATTGAGTATCTCCCTTTTTCCTTGGATAATAATGCAGGAAGATCCCTTGGCTTTTCTGGTCACTTAAAAAACATTAACATACGTCTCATTTTCAGCTATCTAAATCAAAACTTTAATTTTTCATCCACTTGAACATGTCTCTGCCGTTGCCAGCTTGTGCTTGGATCAGGCTCAAACATCTAAATGGGTGTCTCGGAATGTTGAAATCTTACTCATGATACTTGCATTAGGGGTGCAGAGAGGGGAAGGGCAAATAGGGAAGGGCAGGAAAAGGATAACTCTCCAGTGACTCTGAGTACCGGATCAGTCACCATATTCTCTTATATAGCCAAGACATGGGTCACAATACAGGTTTGGGGATAGCCGTTAGCAAATTCTGTAGGGCGATCTCTCTGCAGAATGTGCAGTCACTTGCATTCATTGTTTTCAGCCACACTTTGGAGGCTGAACAAGTCCAATTTAACAACTTCTCAGGTTGGCGTTGTGGCAGCCTGGAGGTCCTTGGCCACTGTGAGCAGTACAGAAGTGCCTGAGGTCGATGCCACCGTTGCTGATCCTGCAGGCGTTCGGTGGGTGCAGAGGCAAAGCTGAAGTGTTTATGTGAAGCAGAGTGTCAGGGTCTGCCCTGATTATACCACACTCTGGGTAGGCTTAGGCTTCTGTGGTGTCTTTTTTTCTGCCACCATTTCTGACACCAAATGTGTGGGATTTTTCACACCAATTCTCCAGCACCAACTAGATGTCTAAGAATTCAGTTCAACTTAGACACTAACTATCCAGAATTAGCACAGGCCCCACAGGTTAAGGGCTCAGTCCCACAAGATTGTCCCCATTTCAGACACCAGTTGCAAGTCCTAGCAGTCACCTCTAGTATACAACTGGGGGTTCCCGGAATGCATTCCCTAGGTTGGATAATTCACGGGAATGACTCCCAGAACTCAGAAAAACACTTTACTTACATTTACTGGTTTATTATAAAGGATACAACTAAACAGATATTTTTGTTATACTATAGCTCTTCAAGGTTTCGCTTTAACTCAGCTTTTTCTAGTGCAAATGTGGGCACATGTACACACACATGCAGACATTTTCCCCAAGGTTTCTTCACAGGTCCAGGGTGTAAGAAGAGATGGTGGATTTCTGATGTCAGCTATATATGGGTGATGGTGAGACCATTGTAACAAAAGACATAACACTTAGTGGCTTATAGGATAAAGAAGTATATTTTTTCTCTTAGAGAATAGTCTCCATGTGAACAGTCCAGATTGGCTGGCCTGCTTTTCTCCTTGAGGTCATTTAGGGACCATGGTTCCTTCCAAGTTGTTGTTCTGCCATCTCCTGGGACAGCTGTCATCAGCTCTGTGGTTGAAGCAGGGTTGCCATCACAGATGGGTTCCAGCTGGCATGTAAGGGGAAGAGAACGTGAAGGTCTGAAGTCCCAGATCTAGAAGTTACATCCGGCACTTCTGTTCACATGGCATTTTTGAGAATTTAGTCATGTTGTAATTGTGAGGAAGGCTGGAAAATATAATCCAGCTGGGCCTCCAGGTGCCTGGCTACGATTTTATTACTGTGGAAAACTGGGAGAACTAACTAGTAGCTTCGACCACAGTTTGCCTCTCTGGCCACGCAAAGCCTACCTGCTCCCTTCTTCCCACACATAGAGTGTACTCACTGTCTCTGTAAGGAAGACAATTCGGAGTCCCACCATCTAGTCCAAAAGTCGAGAATCTCTACTTGATGTATAGTTTTCTTCATCAGGTCCAGATGTGACTCTTCAATGCTCGCCAGCTGTAAACTAAACTTCAAGTTAATCTTCCCTCTCTGCCACCAATAAACAATGGAAGAGCAAGACCAGGACAAGTAAAACAAAGGCTCCTGTTCATAAAAAGGAAGTTTGGGAATATACACAGTAGTCACTAAACCATAGCAAGCAGCAAATCCTGTTGAGCAGGGATTGCAAAGGGTCCTTGCCTTGGCAGTGGAGCGATTGCATGTTTAGCCCACTGGCAACTCCTGGCTCTGCTGTCTTGGAGCAACCCTTTGTCTGTTCTCTTCTAGAGCCCTGGCCCTCTGAGTTCTTCCTTGTCCATTACCCCTGCGTGGCCCCTCAAAGTGGTGTGCTGGAGACTGTGCCCTCCTGGGGGACCTATTTTAAGTTTGAAAAAAGCACGTGACTTTCCTGGCTGGGTTTATGTTTACTTTGATAAAACCATTCCCAGCCCCCACCCCAAATTTGGTAGGATTCCTCTCTTTTTGCTTCCAGTTAGTGCCTGTAACTACCTCAGAGTTCTTTTATAGATACAGTTATTAATCTACTTTATTTCTTTGTTTTCTCATTTACTGACAATTACTTTGAGGCCATCTAAAACAGCAGGTTTGGGTAGAAAGACAACATCCTAAGTCTGGGTTTTGCTTCAGGGCTGGGTGACTTTTTGGTGGCGGTGGTGGTGTTGGGTTAATGGGTTTTTGCAACAACAACCTAACTCTTGTGGTTTGGAGGTATAGAATTAGTTGACTTTTTCAACCTTGTGAGATCTTAAATTACCGGATATTGTATTTTATATCTGGTCATGAATTAGTCAATTCTTTCTTGAGTTTATCTATTTCTTGTAATATGTTGCTATATACAGCAAAGAGCAGTAAACAATATACTGACATTCTAGCTCTTTCTAGCTATTTCTTCTTTAGCTTGAAACATGGCCTGCCTTTCAAGTTATCACAGTAATAGTGGTGCCAAATATCTTGCAATGGTATAACAAGGATCATCAACTTTTCAGCCTAAAATATCTGTGCCCTTACTATCCAAGCAAACCAATGCCACATGTTTTAGTCTTTTGATGTAGTAGCATCCCACTTATATGACTATTGTCTGTATTATTTAGAGTAAATCCAAGGTACTGTAATAAAAAGACACAGTGATACAGTGGCATAACACAGAAACCTATTTCTCTTGTTTATAGTGGATAGCTTCACTGTGAATGAGAGCAGGGCAGTTTCAGTCCTCACATTCATTCAGAGATGCAGGTTTTTTCCAAGTTATTGTCCCTTCAACCCTAGGGCAAGGGTTCTCAAATTTTTGGTCATAGAACCTCTTTACGCTTTTAAAAATTATGAAGGACCTTTGAAAGCTTTCATTTACGTGGGCTATATCTATTGATATCGTGAGAAATTAAAACAAATTTTAAACTATTTAATCATTTAAAAATAACAATAAATCCATACAAGTTAACCTAAATAACAAACTTTTATGAAAAGTAACCATATTTTCCAAACCTTAAAAAAAAGTGATGAGAGAGACATTGCTTTACATATTTGCAGATTTCTTTAACTTGTAGCTAATAGGAGAGA